TTTGAAACCTACTAAGACAGAATGTGGTAGCGACAGGATTAGGAAGCGTTATAGTTAAAGCATTAGCTATCGCCTTTACTTCTTTTTTACCAAGATTATCTTGAATAATACGCTGGGCTATACTTTCGATGGTTTCTCCGTCTGAGATGATGTCAGATACTTGACATATATTAACATCCCCTCCTTCTTTAGGGATTACCTGACTTCTACTTCGGCAAATTCTCTGATCAGGGATTAGTACAAATGTCTGCTCTCTACTAAAATTATACCCTTTTTGGAAACGCTAACAATCTTTGTCTCTTTTCAGTTTATCTGTCAAAAGCTCGAATAATACTAGAGCGTGCTGGCTAAGTTTTTCATCACTCATATCTTTACTGAGTTTGTGTTCTGCAACATACTTTGTTACAATCACGAACATGGCTATGTGAATATAGGTTGTGAAGTAACTACTAGATTATGCGTAACTGTTAGATTACACTACACAGAAAAAAAGTTCAATTTGAAAATAATTCTCCTTGTCCAAGGACTGCGAGAGAGGGTCAGAGGGGTTTCGAATGAACAAAAAAGAATATTATAACTTATTGCGGGTTCTTTATGAAGCTATGAGCTCTGGCATATATATTTGAAAATTGCATGTATAAAGAACGAAAGTCTCATCCCTACTAATATTAATCCACTCTTATTTACTCTTTACCAAAGCATACCATTTTTCTGGAGTATGCTTATATTTTTTTTGCCATTTTTCATTGGTATCGAGCCAGGAGGATCTGATCCCATCTTCCTCAAAATCATGACAGATAATCTCTTCTCCTATCAGTCTTTTTTATACTATCATGTCTATATATTCTTTAGGATCATCCTTCATCTCTATGGCCCATTCACACATCTGTGAATCCATTTTCATTCTATCGCAAAATGTGAGTGAATTGAGCTTGTCCTTTTCTATAATAGTCACAAAGACATCTGGATCTTCACCATGATCGATAGCCTATTTTCTGAGACGCTCTACTTGCTGAGCTCTGGCCAGAAGTATGGCAGATGATACTTCATTGATAGGCTTAGAAGAATCGGAAAGCTTACTAATCTCAGATTCATCGATTACTAGCTCAGATGTTTTAGAAGTCTCAGATGTTTCAGATGTTGAAGCGATTGGGATTTCTACTTGTTCTGCTACATAATCGAAAAGAACTTGAACCAAATTGTCCTGTTTATCCACTTTCTTATTCCTTGAAGGGAGATTTTCTTCTGGCTGAGGCAAGATTATTTTCTGGAAAATAATTTCTAGCACATTGAATATGAGTGTGTCTGCTATTTCATTTTCAGGTAAGTCAGGTTAAGGTATATCAAAAAATTCTTTAATATCGCCTAAGCTAAATTCACAAAGCTTGACTACGATCTTGGAACGATCAAGAATATACTGATATACTTTTACTCTATTATCTTGTAAACATGTCCGATCAATACTAATTAGTAAAAATTTCTTACCAGCGACCTTACTAGTTAATGGCTTTTTTCTATTAAACCTGCACCATTCGAGATAATCCTGGTATACTTTTTCACAGCCAAATCTGCTAATCTGATTTTCAGGCCAAGTTGTAATATAATCAATTATAAATCGAATAGGATTAGGAAGTTGCTCTCGCATTATTTCTATCTTCATCTTAGTTGCAGAAATTTTTCCTGAACTCTAATTTGATAAATCACGGCTAAGGAGATATGACATGACTACTCCAGATGCATCAGAATGGTCTAGAATACCCCTTAGCTAGTTGAAATATGATATATTACCTCTACAGCATATAGAGATATCAAAACAGACTATACGAAAATCATCTATGTCTATTTTGAGCAGTATATCCTAATTGCTTGTAACCATATATTCAGCATAATTATTTATTCATATAATTTTAAGACCCTTACGCTCTATAGCTACCATTTGTTCTGTTATGAGTGATTTGAGATGCCTGTTAAATCTATGTCATTCTTCACTAGACATCCCTATTTCATTCATGACAATTAGCTTTTGAGCTTGAATGGTACTATTAAAACACCTAAGAATTTTTTCCGAATCTGAAGTTGCAAAATGGAGATGTGATCCCAAGACTTTATCACTAATAAAGTCAGTAATAATATTTTTCCCGCACTATTGTAATATAGATTTTAGTACCAAGATTGTCTGGGATTTCATCTTTGGTTTCTGCACTAAATGTGCCCACCAGTTCCAGATATATTTGTCAAGTTTTTCATCTTCATTACAGATTATGTTCTTTACATGCCAGAGAATCAGATTCATAATTTCTTTATTAATTTCTGGCACTGGCTTAGCTAAAAATCCTATGAAAAGATTAAAGAACTTTGTATCATGAGCTGAAGTATTTAGCGAATATGAAAGAAAATTAATATTACGATAAAGGATTAGACCTTTAGTAACCGCCTAATCTATTAGATTAATTAACTTCACTGGCTCTTCTCCTAGCTCAATTAAGTTAACTTCATATTTAGCAAAATCTAGTTTTGGCGCTATATCAAAATATAGTCCACCATTCGTATCTTCTGTTTTGAGTACCCATAATCTTGAATACAGGCGACTATTGCCTGAATTGCGTCATAAATCTCATTACAAGAAAATTTCTGTCTAGATACACACATATCTATTAGATCACCCTATACAAAGTAATCATTAGAATTTGAAATTCTGGATTGTTCTAGTTTTACGGGACTTAGAAGCTTTTATTCTCAATCCAAGGCAGTTTCGCTAATAGTAAGTTTTTTTGAAAGCCTGGATCCAGATTGCCTATCTTGGTTTGCTCAGTAGCAGAAAAAGCTATAAGATTTTTTATTTTGTATGATATATGCATTTTCACTATCATGTTCTCGGTCACATGTTAGACAGTGTGATGGAGAGATGCGTGATAGTGGAAATTTATCAGAAAAATTTTCAGATGGATATGAGAGACTATACTCTTCGATGCTAGCCTCTTGAAGTAATGTCTCTACTAGTTCGAATTCAGCTATGGTTGTCTCATTACTTATGTTAGTATATTTTACGCTTTCCGTTTCTAGAACAGCCAAGAAAGGACTGTTGTTGATGATTTCTGATTCATCATTGGGTGGGCGGATCATGAAGTCGAAGATAGATCCATCTTTTGGATAAATAGCTTTTTTTATACGAATGTGTTCCTGTGTTTTTTCATTATATTTGGGTGATCCAAGCATTCACAAAGAAAATGATCATTTGTTTGCTATATTGTCTACAATACCTTTATCCTGTAATCCTGCTGTGAGTTTTTTACGAATAAGTTCAGTAAATATTGCAACCTGAGCGATGCTTGGAAGTCTCATACCAAAAGTTAAGACATGGAGAAATATTTTTTTCGCATCACTACTATCAGCAATGGATATAGTTTTTTTATTCCATTTTGAGAATATTTCTAGACAGACATCTCTAAAAGCATTGCAAAATGTGTTGTTAGCCTGTTTGTCTGATAGCTTAGATAAAATAGCATTTAGCATTTCTATTGGCAAATCAAAATCTATGATAGGACAGAGTAGCTCATCACTATCAATAATCTCGTGTAGGGAATGCCTTTCACAATCTGAGAGTATTGCCTCTATCTCATCCGCATTATCTGCGCTAAGGAAATGTCTTGGTTTAATACTATCATCTCGAATTTTATATAAAGATGCACCTATATCAGAGAGTTTAAACCTATAATAGTATGGAGCGGATGCGTCGAGGAACTCTGAAAGCTCAGATTGGGTCATGGTATTTTTTTTAGAATATAATAACTAAGTATACCCTGAGTTTTGGTATAATACCCTAATAAAAAAGTTTAAAATAAAAATAAATATTATTATAGACATTAAAAAGATTAACCGATTGAAGAAAGAATAATATCAATGGGTGGTAAATACATTTGCCAGTATCTTTCTGATGAAGGAATAGTTTGTGAAAATAAAAGTATTCACTGAAAAAGACGTCAGCGATCTCTATGCAAACAAGATGGGTGTGTAAGACCGACAGCATCAAAATATGGATATTATAATTTGCATGTAAATAAGTCCCATTCAAAAGCAAATTATCACCAGAAGAAGTTGGCTAAGATGCTTCAGAACGGGCAGACTCTAAAGGCATTAGAGCAGGCTCTTGATAGAATGAAAATACCTAATGCTATAAGTTGGCCCTAATGACTTATCGAAAATTTAACCTTATGAAAAATTTATAGGAATGGCAAAAAAACTTAACAAGAACGCTAGAAGTATCTTCTTTTCTAATTTTAGAACTCTGGGAGAGGCAATTTATTACTTGTCCTTAAGAACCCTATAAGCCTTATGAATTTTTGAATTCTTTACCTTTTATTTTTTTTATATATCATACATCAACCATATATTAATCATATTAACCATATACATGACTATATTTGCCCAAGTGGTATACCATAGAAAAATTTCGATTTTTTTCCTAAAACTTTAAAATTTCTTAGGGTTGATAGGGTTCTTAAGAACAAGTAATAAAGAACCCAATAAAATAAGTTAAGAAGCCCAAAAATGATATCAAGATTATCCCTAAGAGCGTCCTCAAGAATTTTTCTTATAGAGATAGAGAATTTTTATAGGGATGCTCAAAAAAAATAGCATATATACTACCTTGACCCAGTTTAAGCCATAATCGGATCTCAGAAGTGCTTACAACATCTTGCAAATATATCTCAGCATACTTTCAGAAATATTTTAGAAATATAATTTGAAAATACTGGAAATGTAACACTTCGCATGTGCCTCATCGGCAATCAAAAAGTGGGTGAATAGATTATAATACATCTTTAGCAAATAGATGGATTGCAAATTTGGCACTTTATGCCTCAACTGGCAATCAAGAAATGGTAATTGAGAGGGAAGCAACTATGCAGGATCCAGAGAAGAAGAGCGCCAAGCTGAAAGAAAATACTGTCCCTTAATGCCACACCCATCCTGATCACGCCTCTTCAGAAAAGAACCATATGACGCAACTAAACTCAAGACCAGCAACTGAGCACCTTAGCAGTAGAGGCACACAACAAGAGGCAAGAAGTGTATCATAAAAAATCGCATAGCAAGAACAACTTCTATTGTCAAATTATACCCCAAGCACTACATAACTAACTAACATTAGCTACATAAAATAAAGGCCAAGTATAATATCGAAAACCTCACATATCAGGAATAAAGCAAAACACAATCTTAAACCCAAAACAAGAACCACGTAGGAATCAACTAAAAGCAAAAAAATGAGAGTAAAGAAGAATAGCGAAAAACTAATATAGCAACGCATAAAGCAAAAAGAAAAGGAAGCTCATAAAAAACAGCAACCAAACAAAGGGAGAAAATAAGAAAGAAAGGGAATAAGAATAATGTAAAAATAAGGAGAAGCAATAATAGCAAAATAGGTCACTAAATAACCGTAGACTAATGAAACTAGCCCCCTCGATGAGTAGGTAATACAAGCGATAAGTAGATAACATTCTAACATAAATAGATTTACAATCTAACATAAATAGGGAACAGTCTTATAAGACTGTTCCCTACTTTATTTTTAGTCTCTTATAAGTATACTTTAGTATGAATTAATAAATTACTAATTAAATTGTATATTGATAGATATAATTATTTTATTAATAATTTATAATAAATGTCACTCAGACCTCTCAAATCCTAATTATATTATAGAAGTTATAATGTTTCAGCTAGAAATTATCTGTAAACTAATGACTCTTATTCAATTCAAGTTATATAATATCTAATATTGATCTATCATGACTTATTGTCAGAAATGATCCTCTTGCAGATGATGCGACACTTATCAAATTAATATAATTAATTTATTTATAAGTTTTAATATACTAGAATCTTTTAAAAGAAAATGAATTATAAAAAATATCTCTAAAAATATAGATTTATAATATTACAATAAATAAGAGAATAATAGCAAATTCTCTTTTTTCAAAATCTATTATAGCTTTTTTCAATATTAAGTCTTAACTTTTATAAATTATGATTATTTATATAAGATAAATAAGAATTTATAAGCGAAAGTAAGAATTCTGTTTTTTTATTCTAAATATATTAACTAGCATAATCAAAATAAATTTTTTATTAGTATAGTAGAATCTAAATAATTATTAAATTCTACTAAAATAGAAAAAAAAAAATAGAGCTTAACTTCTTAAAATTAATTTCTTCAATAATATCTATTGAATTATTAACTATATCTAATAGTATTAGAATTAGATTCATTATAATTAATAAATTAGATAATTTTAGATAATTGAATAATTGGATAGTCCAATTGTATTCAATTGTCTAATTGTCTAATTGAATATTTATTGGAATTATACTATATTCATTTATTCAATTAATCAATTAAACTTACAATTAAGCTTAATTCAATCAAATTTATTTATTAAATTAACTTATCATTTATCAAATAATATAAAATAATAAAAAAATAAAATAAAAATATATATATATAAAAAAAGACTAAGAAGGAAATTGGGAACTTGATTTTTTCAAAAAAAAATCTTAAACATTAGTATTTAAACCTATAAACTATTAATAATAAATAGAAATGAATATTATTATTATTAAATATTTAGTTTAAAATTTATCTGACAAATTATTATTCAAGTTTAATAGATTTAACTATTTAAATCTGAAAATAAGCATTAGATATTAAATACTGGATTAGTAATAAATTAATAGTACTAATAAATTAATAGTATTATAGTTGATTTTTAAGATGCTTATAAGTGATAAGCAAAGCAATATTTTTAAATGGTAAGTAGAAGATTTGTTTTATAGTTATTTTAGAAGAATGTCAATCAATTAACAGTTTATTTAATAATAATAATAATAGAATACTATCTCAGTCAACACTTTGTATTATATAAATATGTTAAAGAGATTAAAATATACTATTTAATAAATCTACTTATCAGATATATTAGATACATTACTAAACTAAAAGAAAATATCCTCTATTTATATAAAATAAAATATATAAAGTTATCAAAGAAATAAAAGAAATAAATATAACATATAAAATAAATATAATAAAATAAATATATAATATAAATAAAATAAAATAAATAAATAAAATATATTATATAAAAAAAATATATGTCATAGATAATATAGAAGACATATAAGACATATATAAACTTTTAGTAATTGATATTATCATTTGATTTTCATCATCTATATTTTCTTTTATGTAATAATAGTTATACTATTATATTATAATAAATATAAATTTTTTAATATAAATTTTTTATTTATTTATTGAAAAATTTTAAATTTTATTTTCTCAATTATTTTAAAAAAACAAATTTTTTTATATTTAAAAAATATACTTAATCTTAATAATTTTTTTTAATTTTAGTGCTTCTATGGCCTATATGATAATTTTTAATTAGATTAATAATTAATTATTATCTTATCCTTCTATTTTCTTATACCTTTTTTTCTAATGCTTTTTTTAATATTTCATTTGACTCTTTTGCTTTGGTTTTTTTTGCTCTATTAGTTTTTTATTTGAATTTTATATTATAAAATATTTTTTTTAGATAATAATTAAAAAGAAATTTTTTTAAATTTATTATTAAGAACAATAAATATTAACTTTGTTTCTTTTCTTAATTTTTTAAAAATTGTTTTTAAAGGTTTCTGAAGTTTCTGGACTTTTTGAACTTCCTAAATTTTTCAAATTTTTTAGATTTTTTAATAAGTGAAGGAGAAGTTTTTATTTCAAATTTACTATTATGAAATAATATTTAATTTTGTTTCTTTTTCTTTGTTTTTTAGAACTTATTAAACTTTCTATTAAGTAAGACTAAAGTATTTTTAGTAAAAAAATGACATTTAATTTGTTTTTTAGGTCACTATCTTTTTAAGTAATCTTATTTAGAAATAAGGTATATTTTTATTTAGATTTTCTTTTGTAGAGAGTTTTTAATTAATTTTATTTATAGTATTTTTATATTTTTTAGAAAAGAATTGCTTTTATCTAATTTTAAACTTTAGAGATAATTTTCTTAGTAGATAAATTAGTGTATAAAATCAACTTATATTTTAAGAAATAAAATTGTTTTATTTTTATGAATTATAATAAGAATTGGAAAATGCTTAACTTTTACTTTTTATATTTAAATTTTATCATTTATTTGATCAATTTGTAATATTAACAATTATACAATAAAATTCATTTTTTATAATTTAATTTATCAGCATTTTCTACCTATTAATTAACTACTATTTACCTGTTGACTAACTTAAATTAAATATATAATAAACTGAATTATTTTTTCTTAATGAATAAATCTAATTTATATAATATTACTCTAATTTTTATATTATATATTGAAATTTATTTAAATTCTAAGTGATACATCTTTTTCAATTTATTTTTCCAATTATTTTTTGTTATTTTATATATTTTTTGTTTTTTATTTTCTCAATTTTTAATAAAGATAAATGATAAATAATAATAAATATAATTTTTTTATTATTGCTTTAATAGTATAAGCTAATTTTTTATAATTATAATATTAGCAAAATGTAAAAAAAATATAAACTTAGTAAATACTTTTTGATTTTAAATGAAAAATCAAATAAGTGAAATAATTATAATATTTGTATAGATTATATTTAAATTTTAAGATCTGATAAAGCTCAAAAACAAAAATTTACAAATACAAAATATGTATGTATAAAGCATCTTGAAAATTGTTTATATTTTTGCTAAAAAAATATACTAAAGAGAAGATTGCAAATATTATTAATACAGCATTAAATCATAGATCTAAAAAAGCAATAAGTACTAATATATAATAAATAAAATAAAAAGGATAAATCTAACAAGTCTATAATTTCAAATCTTTTCACAAATCTCTATTCATTATAATATAAAAAGTAATATAAATAAAATTTCTAATGTTTCATATCAAAGTTTTAAACCATTTGACAATTATATGTACTATAAATTAAATCTGAAATAAGTTAATATATTTAAGTATTTATTATTAAATGTAACAATCGTATGTTATTTATTATTTAATTGAATTAAAAATTCAGAAATTAAGTTTTTGTTTAAATGAATTAATCCTATACTTTTTTTACCAACTTGTAAGTAATTAAGTGAATGCATTCTTAAAAAAAATACTGATAAAATAACAGAAAATATTCTTAAAGAAGTAGTAAATAATAAATTAGGTATAATATTAGATTTAATAGTTAAAAGAATGTCTCAAAATAATTTATTAGATTTAATATTATTTAAATCTTTAAGTAATATTATTATTTGAAAAGTAGAAAAATATAAGTGATAAAAGATGTATATGGAAATTATTTATAATGAAACTATAAATCTTTTAAAGAACTGGAAAAATAAAACATATAAATAAATAGATTAATCACAGATTTAGCATTAGAAAATACAGCAGCAAGGTAATTCTATTTTTTAAAATATATAATTATAATATATATTTAATCAATTTAATTAATTTAATTGATTTAATAGAAAATAATTATACCTTAAATATCAAGACAAATTATTCTTATTATGCTTTGCATATCAAATAAATTTATATATTAAAGATATATTTAAGGTATCATTAAGTTTAAATAATATTGTAGAAAAGTAATTAGAATTCTTATATTTTTTAATCATTTAAAAGTTTGGCTTAGATGTCTTTATATTGAACAAATGAATATATATAAATTACAAATTACTTTAGTTTTTTCTGCTATAATATAATAGAATTTTCATTACTATTATTTTGCAAGTTTATTAAAAACAAAAGAGGCTTTACAAGTAAGTTTTAAAAATTATTTAAAATTATATTTTTTAATTTTAAAATTAAAAAAAATTATTTATTTAAAATTTAGCTATAAAAATTAATAAAAATATAATTAAAAATGAATATAATTTTTCTAAAAAATATTATGATTTCATTCTTGATAACAATTAATGACATCAAATTATAAAAAATAGAAGAACTTTTAATTCTATATTATTCAATATTAAATAAAATTCAAAGACATAATGCATAATTATATAAAGTATTTTATGATTTAGAAATATGATAAAAGTTTTAAAGATTTAGATGATCAAATTTTAAGCAATATTCTTTTAAAAACTTGAATATTGATAAAAGTAATGAGAATAATCAT